GGGATGAGCCAATGACTATGGGCTGTGAATGAAGCTATCAAAGCCTGGCTGGCGGATGCCTGTAACTCCAGCAGTTGGTAGCTGGAGGCAGGACGGTCAAGAGTTCAAGGCTCTCCTCAGCTACTCAGCTAATTAGTTTGAGACCATCCACCTCCAGCAAATGTGGAAGCCAGGTGTGGTGACCCACACCTTTAATCCTACCATTCAAGAGGCTGAAGCAGGAGGGTCACAGGTGCCGGGGCAATCTGGGCTACAAAGTGTGTTCCAGTCCAGCCTCATCTCAGAACATAACAAAAGAAAGTCAAGATTTCTATGCATTTTAAATACTGACAGTGAACTTCGGTTTACATATCACGTGATTGTAGTTGTAAGGCCTCCCTCCCCTCAAAGCCCCAGTACAGGCGTTGAAAATGGCTCACTGTTCCAATGGGCTTTGTCTGCCATCTAGTGGCTATAGAAGTAACTGCAAGTCACATGGACTGGCTCTGAAATAATGGACTTTGTTGTGTGCCTGCAGACACCCACTGCTATACTTGATCAGACAACTGTTCCCATGCTCCTGGTGAGAATGCAAGTGAGCACACTCCCTTTAGAGCAGCGGTTCTGGTTCTCAACGTGTGGGGGGGGCGGGGGGCCCCCCCCCCCCCGTTGGCAAACTTCTCTCCAAAATATTTACATTATGTTCATAAATGTAGCAAAATTACAATTCTGAAGTAGCAACAGAAATAACTTTATGGTTAGGGGTCACCACAGCACGAGGAACTGTATTAAAGGGTGTCAGCATAGGGAGGTTGAGAACCACCTCTCTAGAGGTGATGTGGAAATGTGTTCCCTCTCCCCTCAGAGATGCACCTGCAAGAGGTTGCCTGAGCATTGCACCCTCACCTGCTCCAGACATGTACAAGGTGCTTGTGCTTACAAATGATTAGAAATGCCCTGGGATTCCCCATAGACGGGTGTGGTGGGACATTCAGACACAACCTGCACACACACGGGCAGTCCCAAAGCTGGTTGGAAAAATGAGATGTGTTCTTAGGAAAACTGAGAAGGGAAAGACACGGGCATCCAACAGAGGACCAAGGCATGAGAAAGGCAAACCGATCAGAGCAAAAGAAAAAGACACAGAATGGAGAATGGGAAAAAACTGCCGGGATTGGCTGCCCTCGGGGATGTGCCTGGGAAGCCACAGAGAGAGGAGAGAGATCGGACCGGACGAGGAAAGAGAGGCACCTCCTCAGGGGCACTTTCTCCAAACCTTTGATTCCTGGAGGCTTGGTAACAGCCCACATGACCCCACTCACAGTAAGTACATAGATAGTCAGCAGAGGCTTGTAGAAGTGGGGTCCAAGACGGAAGGGAGACACAGCCAGAGGGAGCCGCTGCACAGCAAACACACCCAGAGGTTTTATGGTGACTTCTCTCTAGCATGACCGTTGGCCATCTTCCCCAACTCAGAGCTCCCCTTTTCCTGAGAGAAGGTGGAACTGAAGTTCCACCCTCAGTGCACACTGCTCCTGCTGAGCCATCCCAACCCACCCACAGATGATCCCTGATCACTTTGGGAGTCTCAACCATCCCAATTCACCCGCAAATGATCTCTGGTCACTCTGAGAGTCCCGTACGTTTCTGGAACTGGGTGCTAAGGGGAAGATGAGGACCTGAGACACAAGCCCTGTTATGAGTCAGAGTATTGCCACGCTTGCCTGTAGAGGGAACGGGCAAACAAGAAGAGGTCCCGAGGAAGCATCTGCAGAGGACGCTGGTGTGCTGAGAGGCAGAGGGGCTCCTCCCCGACACTCCAGGAGAGTTCGCTGGGACTGGCAGCTGAGTGGAGCCCAGAATGGCAGCCAGGTCAGCTGTAGAAAAGCCTGGGGGTTGAGGGGGGGACGGTGCAAAAGTCCTACTGCAGAAATGAGCTTGTCTGAGCATAGTCAGGAGGAGACTGGTCTCAGAGCTAGGAGACCAGAGTCCCTCAGGGCCTCTCAGGAGGGGACATGGACTGCGATGATACCTGTGGTCCATGAGAGAAAACAGAGAGTTAAATCCAGATGGGAAACCTCCCACACTAGAACAATTCGCATATTGTAATTTGCATATCATAGTTGTTTATTGGGTTTTTTTTTTGTTATTGTTATTTTGGTTTTTGGTTTTTTGAGACAGGGTTTGTTTCTCTGTGTAACAGTCCTGGCTGTCTTGGAACTCATTTTGTAGACTAGGCTGGCCTTGAACTCATAGAGATTCACTTGCTTCTGCCTTCCAAATGCTGGGATTAAATGTGTGCACCTCCACCACCTGGCTTTGTTCGCTGTTTTATTGTCTGCTTCCCCGAGAATGTACTACAGCATAATGTGAAATTTATAGTGGTATTTTATTTATGTTTTGATAAATAAAGCTTGCCTGAAAATCAGAGAGCAAAACTAGAGGCCAAGCAGTGGTGGCCACACCTTTAACCCCAGCACTGGAGGGAATATAAAATGAGAGGGGAGAGAGGCTTAGGCTGCTTAGTCTGCTGTTGCCCAACCCTGGTAGAGGTAAGACTTCTCTAGTGCCTTGGCTGCTTTGCTTTTCTGGCTTTCAAGTTAAACCCTAATATCTGACTCTGGGTTTTATTATTCATGGTACAGAAATTGCTACTAAAATGCTCACCATGAACTCAAAGGTTTTTAAAAAATTATACTGGCCAGGGATGGTGGTGCACATCTTTAGTCCCATCACTTGGGGGACAGGTAGGGAGATCACAGTGAGTTCAAGGCCAGCCTGGCCTACAGAGTCAGCCCTTGTCTCAAAAACAGCAAAACAGATATACTGGCCCAAAGGCTAGTCCAGTCATGTGACTCAGCCGGTGCCCGTGAGCATCTCTGCCAAGGAATGAGAATGTCCGCACAGAACCTGCCTGTGCATAGCCCTCTGTGGCACCTGTCCCTAACAGAGCCCTGGGGATCAAGTCCAACATTCACACATGCCAGGCAAGCACTCAGGCGGCAGCCCGGCTCCAGGATCTGTAATATTTCAGAACAATGAGCAAACTGCAGTGGGTCGAGAGCTTGCCTGAGCGGTTTGTGACCTTGGCTTCAAGGAACAGTTTCTCATACTCAGCCCTTAACTATTTATTTCTGTGGCCCCATTTCTATGGCTCGAGGACCGGAAGAAAGGCAGGGTTAAATGTGCCATGTAGTGTATCAGAGGCAGCCTGTTGCATGTTCCCAGAGATCAGGCTTGTTTTCTATTGTTATGTTATGGTTTCCAACGACAGTCCCTCAGGGGGCAGGGGCTACCCACAAGCCAGAGGTTCCCTATGAAAGGTCCCCAAGTCTGCAGCAGGTATCAGCATCAGCATGTCACTCAAAGCTCTGCTCCTTCTTCCAGGTTCTGACTGGTGGATCCATCCCCGGTTGAGTAGTGAGAGCCCTGGTTTTTTTTTTCTGTGAATTGGGGACCCCTTGGATCCTAGGGGCTGTCTGCCACCTGCCACTTGACATGTCTCTTCATGAAACACTCTTGGGGAAGGCTGTTGATGAGATATTTCGCCATCATCCTCGGGGCACAGGTTAGAGCAAGCTTTCTCCTCTGTTGGATCAGCCAGCTCCGACAAGGGCTCCATTCTGCTGCGGTCATTCTGCCTGCCCTGGTGGCATCGAAGCAACCACTAACGAAATTTCAGTTAACCGGTGTGGCTGGGCTCCATGGAAGGCTTGGACACCCACATGTCATTTTCATGTCACAAGGGATTATTTGCTCTGATTTTTTTCCCCAACCACTTAAAATTATAAAGGCAATGAATAGCTTCCAAAGCCACACAAAACCAGACGGCCGGCCAGGTCTGGCCAAGGAGCTGTGTACCTTGGCAGGTGTGGCGACTGTGGCGATTGGTGGGAGGACATCTAAAGTCTGCCCTGAATGAGACCTTAAAACCATTAGCCCTCTCAAGATTACCATTCCTTTGCCTGGCTGGATTCCTCAGTGCTGGGAAAATAAGTGTTCGCGTGGACCAGTGCCTCCCGTCTTCCCATCCCGTAGGCTACAGTAAGCAAAAGCTGGCTCAGCTAAGGGCATTCACAAGGAGGCTCACCACGGCCTGCAAGTCCAGTCCCGGGGAACTGGTGCCCTCTTCTGCCCTCTGAGGGCTCCTGCATGCCTATGGTGTACACACGGACAAGCAGGTACAAATATATCCATAGAAGTACATTTTAAAAAGACTAATTTGACAGGCCTTGTTTAGTTTGTCTGTGTCTTAAACCCAAAGTCACAGAGGGCATCTCCTGGCATCCCTAAACATACCCCGCTGAGTTTGAACTTGAGACCCTTGTGCAAGTGCTGGCCCCTAAACCAGTGTTGGAACTGAAGACATAGGCTGTTACACCCAGCTGTCTCCCTACAAACCCAGCTATCACGGGAGCCACTGCTAGTTTACTAGAAGAAGAAGCTTGCAACACCTCAGGTCTGTGGGATGGAATTGAATAAAAAGATTTTCCTGGCTGTCAGAATAGCAGATGATTCGAGAACTCTCTCCTGACTGAATCACCATCATTTAAAACCCATAATTAAAGTTAGACTCCGTATTGGAATGAATCATGTTGAACCAGGTATTTGCAGATAGTATAGAGAAACCAAGTGTGCACGGGAAAATGATGTCTGCACCTGCTCCAGAGCCTGGCCGACCCCAGGCCCAGAGACCTGTATTAGGAGCACCCTTGAGCAGGGACTGTGGAGGACCAGAGAAAAGGAAAACAGTAATGGCTCCCAGGGCTACTGGGACCTGCCGTCCTGACAAAAGGGGAAGCCAGACGGTGGTGGTGCACGCCTTTAATCCCAGTCCTTGGGAGGCAGAGGCAGGTGGATCTCTGTGAGTTCGAGATCAGCCTGGTCTACAGAGTGGGTTCCGAGACAGCCAGGACTGTTTCACAGAGTAAACCCTGTCTCGAAAAATCAGTGAATCAGTCAAACAAAAAACCAAACCCCAAACCAAAGCGGTGGGGAGCAGAAGGATCTCACGTGGGGGCTCTTTGTTCAGAATAGTCTTTATTATTTGGATACTGTGCCAACACCCGGCTTATCTTCTCTCACACTTTGATAAAAGCCCCCTTCACTCACTCAGAGTCCTCCTCTCCCCATATCTCATATATTGTGACATTATCGCGCGGGTCCATGGGTATCTCTGGGCTATGCAGCCTAGAGCTACTGCTGGCTGCCATGGAGACTTTCAGATTCCGCACCTTGGACACAAATTTCACCAGTTCTATCTCGAGCTGGGTTAAAGTAATGAAAGTGAAATCCTTGCTGGGGGATATATTTTGATTTTTCTTCGGTGGAGAGCGAAACTGACAGCTTCGAAGGCCAGTAGGATTTTGCTCCTGTCGAGAAAGAAATGAGGGTGAATGATCCCAGCGGCTTCAACAGCTCCTTCACCGTTCCAAAAGCTAGGCTCACCTAAGAAGGAACACAATGGCAAACCTAGTCTGGATGTTTGCAGACTCTGACCAATTTGACCTGCCACTTGTTGGTGTAAATAAAGTTTTATTGGCACACAACCAAGCTCAGTTATTTGCACACCATCTGTGGTTGTTGTCAGGCTCAAACGGCAGAGACAATGTGGTTACCACTGAGACGATACAGCCTGCAGAGCTGAAAACGATTTCCAGCTGACCCTTGCTAGGCAGCCTCTGCTCTAGTCAGAATGTCATGTGTTGTGTGTAGTAGACACGTGTATGGGCACACATATACACGGGTTAACGTGTGGAAAATGGCTGTCTTCCTCTACCACTTCTTTATTTCCTGAGACAAGGTCTCTCACTGAATCTGGAACTCCAGAATTCTGCTAGGCTTGCTTTCTAACAGGGTCCTTCTGTCCCTGCCTGCCCCAGCTCTAGGGTTACAGGTGTGTGCTCCCATGCCTGACTTTTATGTGGGTGCTGGGGATTGAACTCAGGTCCTCAAGGTTGCAGGGCAAGTTCTTTTCAGACTGAGCCATCTCCTAGTCCCTGGCCAGTGTCTTGAAATGTAGGCCTCATGTAGGGCTGAACCTGTCCCTCTGATCCCCAGAGAGCTGCTGAGACACTGTGGGAAACACGGGTCACTACTCTTTATCCTAGTATGGGCCTCGAACTTCCTTTACTTGGAATAAAATTTCCTTTGGGTCAGAAATTTGTGATGCGTCAAAAGCAATGTGAATGAAACACGCAGGGGGTGTGTCTGTGAGTCCAGCTCTGTAAGCAGGGCTGACGCGACACGCACCATGAGCTCTCGCATCTACTCTCAATTTGGGAGAACAAACAAAACTTCACAGAAAACCTGTGAGCTGTGTAGTCGGTCATCTCAAACTGTCCCATCCTCTGTGGATGCGGTCACTACTATTGTCACTGAGGAAGCAGATTCACCTAGCTGTCCCCAAGGGACAAAACCTGCGTTCCTGAGACCCACGGCTGTGGCAGGACCACGGCACCCCTTTACCTTATCCTTCTCGCTGTCTCCTCGAAATTTCAGCACCATATATACCATAATGACGAAGAAAAGCCAGAGCCATTTGCTCCCAAGCCAGCTTTGGGAGTGCTCCGGAAGATTCTGTCTAACCCGGAAATGTCCTCCACAAGGCACCTTCCCTGGGCTTTCTTTGGTTTTCTCCCTCAGCGAAGAAAATATGAAGGCGCAGGTGCAAGAGATGCACAGAGACAGAAACAGGAACCATCTCAGCGTCCGCATGGTGAGCAGAGGCTGGGCAGAAAACAGCTCATGGTGGGTCTGTCTGCCGTGGCGCCAGAGAGCCCGGGCCCCTAGTGTTGGACCCTGGTGATGTCACAGAGCTGACCAACCCGGCCATTGTGATGCCTTCAGCTTGAGAAGACTGAGGTTCATGGCAAGTAACCTGCCTGGCGGAACTTCCAGGGAGGAGAAACTTCTAGAAGACAAGGAAGCTGTCTCCTTGCCAGAATGTTTTTTTGTTTGTTTTTCTAAGCTTGGCACACTGTTAGGAGAGACCATCATCTATTTTTGGTTACATTTATTTGATGCAGATATTGTGGTGAGCAGCAGATACACTGTGCCCCACGGAGCTGGGTTCAGTAAGAAATAAGGGTAACTACCCTCTGCTGCTGGTTAGGGGTCATGGACTGTTCCTTTGGTCTGTACCATTGGCATTATGGGAATGGGGATTTTCTTTGGCCTGACTCATCAGCATTTTGACTGTCATCCAAGGGGCTGGGAGATGGCTTAGCGGTGAAGTGTTTGCTATGTAACTGTAAGGGCCCAGTTTAGCACCCAGCATAAGAAAGCTGGGTGCTGTGGTGCACTTACAATTGCAGGGCTGGGGAGGTAGGGACCGGCCAAGCCTGGGCTTCCTGGCCACCCAGTCTAAGTGCTTGCGGCGTTCTGGGCCAGTGAGAGATGATCCAAGTGGACCACATCTGAGAGACAGTACCCAAGGCTGACCTCTGGTCTCCGTGTGCTCACATAAGCACCTGTGCGTGTGTGCGCATGCGTGTAGCCCATGCAGCACAAGGCCCACACCTGGCCCTCCTAGGTCACAAGGAGGGATCTTGTTCAGAGCGACCCGAGGGGCGACTTTCTGCTCACACTCTCGCTGCCTCCAACTGTGACACAGGTTGTATAGACTCATCCGTCAAGGGGCCAGTGACTAAGTGAGCCACAGGGACATTCCCCTAGGACACAGCTTTGGCTTCTGTGGGGCTCCTACCAGCTCAGGTTTGGAGAGATGCAGGCCTTATTGCTGGGTTAGGAACTAGGCTGCATGCTCCGTGAAGCTCCTCTCCTTCCAGCTACAGGGGCCTCCAGGAGCAGATGGCCCTGGCCCTTAGGGCTGTGGGCCAGGGGTTCAGTGCTGCCTGTTTGGAGACTCAGCCTTGGCAGGCCCTGAGCAAGATCTGGAAAACTACAGTGGTGGTCTTGCAGGGGTGAGGTATTCATGTCTGCAAGGCCTGCTTTTGAAGTCAGCTCTGGCATTTGGTAGCTGTTTGGTGATACCGTATGGGAAGACAGGCTTGATTTGCACCAGATGGCTCCATACAACACAGCTCACCACAGCTGGCACACTGGATTTCAGCTATCCGGAAACATTGATGTGTACCTGAGGGGAGGAATCCCTGAATTCCCTTTCCCTCAGTGTGTTCACAGGACCAGGGGAAGGCCAGGCACAGGTGGTGGGTGGAGCTGAGAGTGGAGCTCAGGGCCAGGGTGCCAGAGAGGGGCTGGCTCTTCAGTCTGGTGCTGCAGGGCTTCTCATAGGGAAGCTCAACAAGCGGCTCACCTGCCCTCAGGGAGGCCATGCCTTCCCTAACCATAAGGGCTGGGGAAGGACCTCAAGGGTCCCCTCTGGGGCTGGGCAAGGGAGGAGCCACAGAGCCCAGACAGAAATCGTGGAAAGTTCTGAGGCTAGAGGCCTGGAGACACCAAAGTTTCAAGGCTGAGAAATGTGAAAGTGGTTTTCAAAAGTCATCAAACAACTTAAAGGCTGTAATTAATAAAACATGGCATAAGGGGCTGTTTTCTTTGTAAAGATACAATAAGAAAAAAATATTAGTTCAATGACACTGCTTCCTCTTGCCCTCAATGAAGCCTATTTTTGATAAAAACCCAAACCAAAAATACCCTAGTCAAATAATGAGAATGTTATGAGAATTTTTAAAAAAAGATTTATTAATTATGCATACAGTGTTCTGCCTGCATGTACATCTGCAGGGCCAGAAAAGGGCACCAGATCTCATAGATGGTTGTGAGCCATCATGTGGTTGTTGGGAATTGAACTCAGGACCACTGGGAGAGCAGCCAGTGCTCTTAACCTCCAAGCCATCTCTCCAGTCCTGTTATGAGAATTTAACAGGAGAAAACCCCCTAAAATAGTTTTTCACTATACTACAAATAATTCAGAGAAATGAAACAGCTAATTCAGCTTTGTTTGGGAAAAGCACACAATAAAAATTCATTATTTTTTAAGACATGGTCTCATGTATTCCAGGCTTGCCTAAAACTTGCTAGGGATAGCCTCGAACTTCTCATCCACCTGCTTCCACCTTCCAAATGCTGGGACGACAGGTGCCTGTCACACCTAGATGACGTAGTGCTGGGGATGGAACCCAGGGCTTTGAGTGCCCAGCAGACACTATCGCTGAGCCACATGCTCGGTCCAGGTTAATTCTCAGTGAAAACCTCACATTATATACATGCTGTAATCCAGCACTTGGGAGGCTGAGTCGGGAAGATCCTCAGTGTGAGGTCAGTCAGCTCAGATCTAAAGTGAGGCCCTCTCAAAAAAAAAAAAAAAAAAAAAAAACAAACCAACCAACCAAACAACCAAACAAACAAAAAAACCCACCCAAAACCTCCCAACTATTTCTACAATTTTTAGTGTCTGAGTACGAAGGTCACATGTCCCAGGTTCCCTGCGACAATGCTCATTTCACAGCTTATCCTGTTTGCCCACGACTACACCCTCCTAACTGTCCCAGAATAAACCTCAAGTGTCCTCCGGGCCAGAGGGCAGTGGGGCAGGTAGGTGCTAGTCTCTGGGTTGTTTGCTAAGGCAAGGTCTTGCTACGTAACCTAGGCCAGCTTTGACATCTCAGTGACCTTCCTGCCTGAGCCTGAGGACTTCTATTATAGACATGCTACCATGCTTGGTTTGGGAGTAGGGGCTTTAGTGTTTCTGTTGTTGCATGTTTGCAGGCATACAGCATACAGGGGAACCCCACATCATACGTGAAGCCCAAGGTTGACACTGGGCATCTTAGCTGCACTGCATTCTGGTTACTGAGACAGGTTCTCCCCTGAACCCTGAGCCTGTGAGCACCCTGCCTAGGGGACCCATATCTGCTATACAAGGGCTGGGACCACAGGTCATGGTGCTCACCTGCTTAAGGTTCTGGGGATCCAAAGTTTAGTTCCCAAGTGTACATGGCAAGTGCTTATCTACTGAGTGAACTATCTGCCTGGCGCAGGAGCAGGGCTTTTGAAGTGGCCCATGGAGGCAGTTCTGTCCTGCTCCCATGAGCAGTTTCATAGAGGGTTCAACTACAACTGTGAAGGTGGAAAAGGTGCCATTCCTGTCTGCCCCTGTCACTTTGATGGCTGTCATTTTCTTACCAAGATAGAAGAGGAAGAGAGAGGAGAAAGGAGACAAAAGGGCTTTATTGTGTACTACTCAGTGGTGTCTGGATTCTTCTTTGATGTCCTCGTATCAGAAGAAGCCACCAGGAGCAAGGGCTGACAGCTGGAAGTCTGTCCTAAGCTAAACTCAGAGTCATTACTTCCTTGACCAATTACAACTTTAGAAAATGAGCCGACTTCAATGTAGTAAGCAGAGTCGCCAGGCTAAGCAAGATGTACAGCCTGTGGGGAGGCCGTGGTTATGCTGCAAGGCTCCTCACCCTCCCTGGGACCCACACACCTCATGGCGAGTGACCACACAGGTCGAAGATCGGAGAGGACAGCTTTATAGTATGGTGACACATCAGGCAGCGTGGCACAGGCCACAGGGGACGAGCCCTGCGGGGAGGGGCTGCGGTCCTGCTTTAGAAGCAGTAGGACGTGTGGGTGACCCAGTGGGCAGACTCCTCCTTGGAGCGCTTGGCAGAGCTGTGGCTTGTAAAGATGGACTTGTAGGTTTCGGATTCGTCACTGTTCGCGATGGACCTCTTCAGGGCTCCGCATGGGGCTTTCCCAGCTTTCCCGTTAGTTGCTAGAAAACAAAGACAAAATCTGTAAGGCTGGGACTAAAGATCACTCCAACATCAACTTTTTTGTTTTGTTTTTATTTTATGAGACACAGTTTCTCTGTATAGCCCTGGCTGTCCTGGAACTCACTCTGTAGACCAGGTTGGCCTTCAATTCCCACTTGTCTCTGCCTCCTGACTGCTGGGATTAAAGATGTGAGCCACAACCACCGGGCCAAACATTGGATTTTTAAAGGGAACAAGTCATGCATAACATTTTCCCAATCTCCCAGCATTTTGCTGCTCTACTGTAGAAAGCTGAAGCACAGGACATCTTCAAACTCAATGCGAGGCCAAGAGAGCCAGGATTACGGGAACGAGCTGCCATTTTATACAATGCTGCTAGGAGAGCCCAGAGTTCGTGCACACTCCGGAAGCGCTCTATCAACCGAGCTACGTTCCCTGCCCACGATAGAGTGTAGAAAGAAGGAGACGCTTGTTCTTCCTGGCCGCCCAGAGCAGAAATAATCACACAGAAACTGTATTAATTAAAACACTGCTTGGCCCACTAGCACTAACTTCTTATTGGCTAATTTTCACATCTTAATCTAACCCAATTTTAGTAATCTGTGCATCACCATGAGGTTGTGGCTTACCAGCAAAGTTTTAGCATGTCTATCTCCAGCGGCGGATCCATGGCGTCTCTCCGACTCTACCTTCTTCCTCCCAGCATTTTGTCCAGTTTTCCCTGCCCACCTAAGTTCTGCTCTATCATATAGGCCAAGGCAGTTTCTTTATTCATTAACCAATAAAAGCAACACAGACAGAAGGACCTCCCACACCAATATAGTAAATAAATTTAATTATTTGAGATAGAGTCTCACTACGTAGCCCTGGCTGACCCAGAATTCACTATGTAGACCAGTCTGGCCTTGAACTTGGGGTCATTCCTCCTGACTCTGCCTCCCAAGCAGGCCCATGCTACCCATGCCTGGCTAAAAGCACAGACTCTCAATAGTCTCTCCTACAAGCTCGACAGAGCCCTAACCCCTCAAGGCCTTGCTAACACTGTGTGCTGGCACCAAGCTGTCCCCAGCTCCTCAGCACTCGGGCTGAGTCCTCTCAGGTGGGTACTGCACAAAGACAGAGAGGACCCAGGAGTGCCAGTGGCCTGTCCTGATGGAAGGCCAGGGCCCACTGGCCACTGTTTATGTGGGACATAACGCATCTCACTGCCTCTGTGACCTGAGCTTTTCTTCTTGTAAAATAACTGATCTTAGTTTTCTTTGCAGTGCTAGGCAATGAACCCAGGGCCCCATCCATCCTCAACAGGTTCTCCACCACTGAGCTCAGCACCCATCCTCAACAGGTTCTCCACCACTGAGCTCGGCACCCATGCTAAACAGGTTCTCTACCCGGCTGCAGCATCCATGTGAAACAGGTTCGCTACTGAGTTCAGCATCCATGCTAAACAGGTTCTCCACCACTGAGCTACAGCCCCAGCTTCCTTTCTGCATTTTAGTTTGATATAGAATTGTAGTAAGTTGCCCAGGTTGGCCTCAAACTTTTTATCTTCCTGCCTCAGCTCCCGAGTAGCTGGAATGGCAGGCCTGTGTCACCAGACATAGCATAAATATTTACTTTCCTTTTTTGCTTTCCCTTTTTCTCTTTATGTGTTTGTGTATGTATACGTGTGAATCTATGTCACATACGTACATGTGCCTATGGAGACCAGAAGAGGGTGTCAGATCTGGAGATGGAGTTACAAGCAGTTGTTAGCTGTCAGATATGGGTGCTGGGAACAGAATTCGGGTCCTCCACAAGAACAGTACTAGCTCTTAACTGCTGAACCAGATTTCCAGCCCTTGCTTTTTTCTTTTTGAGATAGTCTAGCTGGGCAGTGGTGGAGCACGCCCTTAATCTCAGTACTTGGGAGGTAAAGGCACACATACCTCTCTGAGTTTGAGGCCAGCCTGGTCTACAAAGAGAGTTCCAGGACAGCCAGGGAGACACAGAAAATCCCTGTCTTGAAAAACCAAAAGAGAGAGAGACGGACAGACAGACGGACGGAGACACACACACACACACACACACACACACACACACAGAGACAGAGACAGAGACAGAGACGGACTAAGTGCATAGCCCTGGCTGGCCTGGCCCCATAGTTTACCCTGCCTCTGCCACCGCCGCCAGCCTGTTGTAAAGATACTGAGTTTTGGAGCAGCTCGTGCACTTGGCCAGGAGGCAGGAGTAGAGAAAGGACATCTCTATGATGGAACACAGGGACGAGGGAGCTAGGAAGGTTCTGAGCGCCCGGAGCCCTCCACATAGTGTGTCTCTATGTGGCTGCCTGCTGTGGCACCATAACCTTGCTCAGCAGTAAGAAAAAGAGCAGGATTTGTGTTCAGAATCTTTTGGGCAGCAGGGCTCCAGGCTGGAATGTGAGGCTACATTTTAATTCAGAGGACACAGGGAGTCACCTATGAATTACTGGGAAAAGCAAAAGTCTTCTCTTCCCTTGGCTCTGGCTTCCCAACTGTCTCAAGTCTTTACTGGCTCAGTAAGACCCACCTGTATCCCTGGAAGTCAAGATGCTTTTCTTCTCTCTAGGATCAGGGTCCGCCTCTTCAGGCTTGCCAGCCTTCACTTTGGATGGTCCTGCAGAGTCTGGAAAAGACAAAGTCAGCAAAACAAACCTTGAGCCAAAGCAGAGCCAGGCTCTGGTGACGTAGGACACAGCCTACACCCCAATCTCTTGGCGTCTTACCATCTGCA